GAAGAAGAAATAGGAAGTGGGGATTTTATGCGTGGGCTCATTTTCTCATAGCCTTAGACTTCTTCTTTAGTGATTGAACCAATGTTGAAAGATCATGCTTCTCCTCCTTTTGCCCCACACCTCTAGACAGTGATTCATCATCTTTCTTTGACTTACCATTGGAGGCCAGCTGAACTTGCTTTGACTTAAACTTGACTGATCTCACCAATGAGCCCAACTCATGCTTTTCTTTCTTTGATTGCAAAATCTCAGACTTCTCATGGCTGCCTTTTTTTGTTCTGTGATCACCGGATGGCAACTGGTCATCATTGGTAGCTGACTTCACCTGCTCCCTTCCCACCAATTCTCTCCACTCTTCCTTATGCTGCCTTTGTACTGTCTGCCGAGCATAAGCTGCACTCCTACAACACCCAAATACAATGTATAAGCCAAAAAGCTTTTGTTGAATGAAAGAACCAACAACTCTTTTAGAATTACAGATTAGTTTACTGTAACCACAATGATTATCAACATGCACCAAACTACGTCTTAAGAAAGATGGTCAATAACCTATATGCTTTTACTTTTTATTTTTCTAAAACTAGTCTAGAATTTCAAGTCTCAAAATTTAGTTACCTTTTGAACTGTGGATCAGTGGGGTCCAAAGCAAAGAGAGGTGATGTAAAGAGAGCTGAGAATCTTGGATCATTGTATTCAACAGTTGGAATTTTGTCCTCATCTGGAACTTCTTTCCCCCTTTTTCCCTTTGCCTTCTTAGGTTTCAAATTATATCCCTTGAGACCAGTATCTGCTCCCTTGTCATCAGTAAGTAATAACTCAAGCTCAGCTCTGCTTGCTTCTGCTTCTTTCTCCTTTTCCTTATCCCTTTGCTTTGCTTCTTTCTTACTTCTTTTAACTGAAGGCTCTTCAACAAAGAAGTCATCTGGTTCTTCAATGGGTTCTCGATCAGTATCACTAGTACTACTTCCATCATCTGATGAATTTTTAGATTTGTTTTTCCTGGCCTTCTTTTTCTCACGCCTTTTCCTGAGATAGGCCTCCCAAACTGTTTCTGACTTCTTATCCTTCTTCTCTAAAATGCGCTTGCTTATATCCTCCAAGCCACTATTAAAAGTGACTTCCATATCTTGTCCATCCTCCTCACCATCTCCATCTGAACCATCACCAGATTGGAGTAAAGCAAGGTACTTTTCTTTTTTCTTATTTTTCTTCTCAGATGGATCCTCACTGATGTTATCATTCTCATCATCATCACTTTCACTCTCATCAGAGGCCAAAAACTCCTTTAGCTCCAACTCAGCCAGCTATATGAAGACAGAATCATATCAGAACCCCATTAACACTAAATAGACATTTCATAATGAAGAGAAATACTTATTCAACTTACACTATTAGCTTGAGAAAGACAGAAGTAAACAACACATCAGATTGGGAATAGATAGCAATAGCAGAGTATCATCAAGTAGTAACGTATTAAACATCATAGATTAACCATACTGACCTGTTCATCATTGAATTTCCTTTTCAAGGTCTTTACACGTTGTGGTTCATCTTCATCCCAGGAAAGATGAATTTTACTTTGTTGCAGTGCTTGGGTCTGGAAATATAAACCCTCATATTTTGCAGGTTCCTGAGAAAAGACAGAGAAGTTAACATTTTGCAGTCACCACTCATCAGCATTTCAACTCAGTACATAGGCTACCCAACAACAACAACAACAACAACAATAATAATAATAATAATAATAATAATATAAAATTAGATGCTTTAAAAATTGAAAACATGAGAATTGACAATGGGTCACACTAACTTGCCTTGCTAGAGGTAAAATGATTCCAATTAAAGGTCTACAATGCAAGGACTATACATAAGTAGCATCGACATACCTCAGTTGCCACATCTCGGGGTGGATGTTTGAATTCCATAGTGTCAGGAATAAATCTCAAATCAAGCACATTTG